CAATTTCTGGCACATTTGGCCAATGGAAGTCTCTTCGGTTAGCAATTTAATAGAGTTTATCAGTTTGTGTGTCCTTTTTTACACATTTCAGTCATTCCAGATTTCTGAACCATGTGATGAGAATTTTGGGATTTCCTGATAGGGATCAAGAGTCATTCTTGGAGCTGACAAAGGTATGTCCAATGCCATATAGGGTACATGAAAAAAAAATCAGGCTTCTTTTATGAAAACAAAAGGGGAAGAGAGGGTGGGATGAAGTTGGGTTGAAAGCAACTTAGCAATAATTTGACATAAGTGTAGATTTAGAAAAATACATGAATTCAGCAAATTCCATTCCATCCCAAGATGGCTGGAATCATGGTTATTCTCCTATATAGTAAGCTAGCCTTCTGGGACACTTCCTCCTTTCCACGGGTTCCAAAAAGATCAGTGTTTGGGGGGAGGGGGATGATCATCTTGCCTTTTTTTCTTTTTTTTTTTAAGATTTATTTATTTATTTATACATGCACTGGGTGGGTACAGTCAGAAGCACAGGAGTGTGAGAGAATTCACCAGAGCTAGAGCGGGGAGCAGAGCAGGCAGAAGGACCGAAGTACACTGCTGAGGGGAGCAGCGGGCGGCAGGAGAGGTCTGCGCGCCATGTGGGACCCTCACCTGGCGGCTGGGATCGAACTGGCACTGCAGAAGCTGCAGGTAGCTTCGCAACCCAGCGCTCAACTGCTGCGCCACCAGGGAGGCCCAATCATCTTGCCTTTTTGAACAGTTGGGCAAAGGTTCTGTGTGTGGCAGTCCCATAGAACCATGGGGCTTAAGAAAAGCCCTCCGCTTGGGCAAGTGCTTAGTGTTATCCAGTTCCTTAATCCTCTTCCTTACACAGGCAAGTAGCCGGAGGAGCTGCCAGATCAAACCACTTTAGTTCTGCACAGACTTAGAAGACTGGTGGACTTCAGGAGCTCTCCAGAAGTTCAACATATAAGTAGGGGGACTTGGACAGGCTGGTCTAAGCCCCTACGAACTTTTTTTAAAAAGATTTATTTTTTTATTTATACAAGAGCTGGGGTACAGGCCAGGGGCGCGGGAGGGTGAGAGGATTCACCAGAGTGGGGAGCAGAACAGGCAGACAGACCGAAAGCACTGCTGAGGGGAGCAGCGGGCAAGACAGGCGAGGTCTGCTGTACCATGTGGGTATCTCCCTGACTGGCCGGGAATCGAACCCGCATTGCAGAGGCTGCAGACAGCTTCACAGTGCTGTGCTCAACCCGTTGTGCCACCGGGGAGGCCCAGTCCCTAAAAACCTTTACAACAAATGGAACAACCTCTCCAGGGAGACCGAATTTAACCTAATGCTAGTCTTCTAGGAAAGGTGCCTCATACCACCTGTTGGGCATGGATTCCCAGCTTACCAATGAGAATACTGTCACCGTATTCACACTGACAATTTCTAGCTCTCTTAATAGGTGTTTTTGTAAACCTTACAAAAACTTATCTTTTTTACTTTACATGTGCATTTCCCCCCAAAGTTGTACATCAATGAATAATTTGCTTGTGTTATTTACAAGATCTTTAAATCAGCTCTTTGTCATCTTTAAGAAAAATTCAGTATTAAATCTCTTAAAATAAATGCATAATTGAACAAAAATATATGCTCTAAGGAAAAAAAACAATGCCCATGACAATTTAAGTGATGAAAAGGTCAGATTCTTGTATGACATTGGACACATGTCGTTGCTTCCCCAGCATCCATGTCTCCATTCCTCTTTTCTAACAGCCCAGATTTGAGGGGAAAGATCCGCATTGGCCCCCGGGAAGCTGACTCCACTTCTCTGGTTCCTGTGATTGAGCAGGAATGGGCTTGTAACCTAAGCCACTTCAGTGAGAGTGAGTCTCAGTGATGGGGTGCAGATACTTTCTCCTCCCTGCCAACCGTAATCAAGGCTCCAAGTGCCGACCACCCCACCACCCCCCAAGAGATGTTGGTAGTAACTTTTGGTTCCTGGAGCATAATATATTCATTTGTTTATTCAACAACCATTATTAATCTCTACTGTGTTCCAAATGTGAAAATATTAAATTGAATAAGACATGGTTGCTGACATTATATTATATTCTGATGCAGGAAACAGACAGTGAGATGTAATGGAAGAGGGAGCAAAGACATCAACATTCAAAGATTGAGAACCAATTTAGGTCTTTGGGACATCATAGGTGGAAATGCTTGGTATCCATTTCTTTCTTTTCTTTTTTTTTTTTTTAAAGATCTGGACTCAAGCCCAGCTCTCTTCTTTCTTTTCTTTTCTTTCTTTCTTTCTTTTTTTTTTTTTTTTTTTTTTTTTTTTTTTTTTTAAAGATTTATTTATTTATACAAGCACTGGGTACAGTCAGAAGCCCGGGAGGGTGAGAGAATTCACCAGAGCCAGAGCGGGGAGCAGAGCAGGCAGAAAGACCGAAGCACACTGCTGAGGGGAGCAGCGGGCGGCAGGAGAGGTCTGCGCACCATGTGGGAACCTCCTCCGGTGGCCGGGGAGCAGCCGGGGATCGAACCAGCTCTGTAGAGGCTGCGGGCAGCTTCGCAACCCAGCACTCAACTGCTGCGCCACCGAGGTCCCGCTTGGTATCCTTTTTATAGAACTGATCATCATTATTCTGCTTTGAATCACCTAATGAACTGTGGTTTTAGTTGAATTTCTTGCCATAACTCAACTGCAGAAAGGATTGCAGTCTCCTCAATCCTTAATCACTGGTTAGTGCATTAATCCGAAGTAAAACCTAAACTTGAAACCAGTCCTTCTGGTTACATATAAATATTTGGAAAGTAATGTCAACAATATCATCTATCATTACTAAGCAGGCAAATAAAATAGTGCCTTTAATATGACTTCAGTATCATCCAGGGACAAGAGATAAGAGCACTTCGTGTCCCTAGAGATTTTTTTGAACCCTTTAGGAAAGATTTGGATACAAACTCACACCCACTATTACCATAGTTATACTAGCTGGCCTCCCTAAGGACCACCCAGGCGGTACATAACAGCAGAGAATCCAGTGCAGGTGTTCTCGGTGGCAGGCCAAGGAACTGGGGAGAGGAACACCGTCCCAGGATGTCTTATTAGAATTATCTGGGTGAGTCCCCAACGAAACACACCTGCACCTCATCCTGGAATATCTATCTAGGCCCCTCCTTCAAAAGTACTGCAGGAGCACACCACTTTTACTGAATGTTCTCCCTGTCTCACTTATGACGGGGTGGGAACAACTTTGAGGCCTAGTCTGGAAAGCTGCAGTATGGAGAGTGGGCCCTGAAATACAGCTAGTGGAGGATAAATAGCAAATTGTCCAACCGATGGGCCATAAGTACATGGCATTCTGTGTAAAAGCTTTGATTTCTGCATTTTCTAGTACCAGTCAGACCGGACATCATCACGGCTAACAAATTTTAAATCTGATGTGAAAATTTATGGATCAAGTGGAGAGTTCCTACCTAATGCAGAGAATTCAGACCTGGGTCACACGTAAATCTCAAGTGGGAGTTAAGTGTTAGCTCACTGCAGGCCATATCCTGACCTACGCAGCACCGGGCAAGAGCTAGCAAGATGAATAGTATCAGCTGCCTATAGGATTTCATTATAAATTTTAGAAAGGTGGGAAGAGGAGATGAAACGCGAAGATTCCAGCACAGTGGAGGTTTGCAGCAGGAAGAGGTAAGGGTTGTTAACAAAGAGCCCTACCCAATTTTCTCCGGATGCAGTGATTTCGACCTTACACCCAAGAACGCAAGCAAGTAGCAAATTACATGTAAGAACGAACGCCTTTCATGTAATTTGCCAAATCAAATGTGTCGGAAAGAACTGTTTCTCCGTTTTGTCAGCAAAACTGATTTGGGCTTCCGCCTTCTGCGGGATGATAAATCAGCGTCTGGGGGCGCGCAGGGCTGAGGGGGCGCGCTCGGGAGGCACGTGCCGGTCCAGCAAGTGTCCCGCCGTCTCCGGGGAGTTTCAACGAGATTTTGGAAAACACCCTCCTGTCACGGCCGTCGCGGCAGTGGGTGTAACTGAAAACAGCGAAGATTTAAATGAACCCTCAAAAGATCCTAACGGGTTTTAAAGATTTGTATCAGAACGGGAAACGCTGCCGGGCAGCCTGTCCCGGTGGCGGCTGAAGTTCGCGTCCCGGGGAACTGACAGCGCAGAGGGGTCCCGCCGTCAGGGTCGGGGTCCAGACGCGAGCTGGAGGGGGTTCGCCCCCAGAGACGCCGGGGCGGGGCGGGGCGCTTTGGCCAAACGGCCGTGGAACCCGTTTCCAGAGCGTTAGAGACCCGACGCGGCCGTTAGGCCGGGCGCGTGCCCCGACCCCGGCCCCGCGGCCTTGGCCTCCCCCCCCCCGCGAGGCCCCCCGTAGCCCGGGGCCGGCGCGCGCCCCCCGCGCCCGCCCTCGGCAGGGGCTCCCCGGCCGGGTCTGGGCCCCCCCCGCGCAGGCCGCCCGCGCCCCAGCGCCGAGCCCGCGCCGTCCGCGCCCGGCTCTGAAGTTGCGGCGGGACCCGGCCCGCGGCGCACTTCTGGAGAGCCGGCCGGGGCGCGGCGGAGCCCCCCGGGGCGAGCGCGCACTTCAGGGGAGCCCCCATTTCCACGACGCGCCCCGGCGGCCGCGGAGGTGGGGCGCGGCCCGCGGGAGGCGGAGGGAGCGGGACGCCGGCCCCCAGGCGCTCGCCCGGGCCGCGAGGCTCCCCGCGGACGCGCCTCCCACGCGGGCGCGCGCCCCGCTGCCCCCGCCGCGCCCCGCCGCCCCGGGCCGCTCCCCCGCGGCCGCCGCCGCCGCCGCGCCCGGGCCCTAGGACCGCGCGGGCGCAGCCGCCAGGGGGGCGGCCGGGGCGCCGCGGGGCGTGGCCTCCCGGAGGAGGCGGGCCCTGGGGGCGGGGCGCCGCGCAACCGTCGGCGGCGGCCGCTGATTGGCCGCGGCGCCTGCGCGGAGCCCGCCAGCGGCCCCGCCCGGCCCGCCGCCCCGCCCCCCGCCCGGCCCTCAGCCCGCGCCGGCTCGCGAGGGAGCCGCTCCGGCGCCGCCGCCCAGCCCAGTGCGGACGACGGGAGAGCGGGAGGCGGAAGCAGGACTCGCTCGCTCGCTCGCTCGCTGCCACCCGGACCCCGGCCGGCGCGGCGCGGCCCAGGGGGAGGAGCCGCCGGCTCGCCCCGCCCCCGGCCCGAGCCGCCGCCGCGGGCGACCCCGCCGGCCGGCCGCCGCCCCCCGCGACCCGCCCCCGGCCGCCGCCGCCGCGGCCCCGGCCCGCCCCCGCGGCATGGAGGGGCCGCGCTCCTGACGGCCGCGCCGCCGCCCGCCCCCGGCCGCGCCCGCCCGCGCCCGCTCGCATGTCCGCGCCGCCCTAGCCGAGGATGCTGAGGATGAAGCTGCCGCCGAAGCCGACGCACCCCGCGGAGCCGCCGCCCGAGGCGGAGGAGCCCGAGGCGGACGCGCGGCCGGGCGCGAAGGCGCCGCCGCGCCGCCGCCGGGACTGCCGGGCCCCGCCGCCGCCGCCGCCCGCGGGCCCGCCGCGGGGGCCCCCCCCGCCGCCGCCGCCCCGGGGGCTCGGGCCGCCCGCGGCCGGCGGGGCGGCGGGGGCGGGCGGCGCGGGCGGCGGCGGGCCCGCGGCGGCGCTGCGCGAGCAGGAGCGCGTGTACGAGTGGTTCGGGCTGGTGCTGGGCTCGGCGCAGCGCCTGGAGTTCATGTGCGGGCTGCTGGACCTGTGCAACCCGCTGGAGCTGCGCTTCCTCGGCTCGTGCCTCGAGGACCTGGCGCGCAAGGACTACCACTGCCTGCGCGACTCGGAGGCCAAGGCCAACGGCCTCTCGGACCCCGGGCCGCTCGCCGACTTCCGCGAGCCCGCCGTGCGCGCGCGCCTCATCGTCTGCCTGGCGCTGCTGGGCTCGGAGAACCGCGAGGCCGCCGGCCGCCTGCACCGCCGGCTGCCCCAGGTGGACGCGGTGCTGCGGAGCCTGCGCGCGGCCCGCGCCGAGGGCCCGCGGGCCGGCGCGGAGGACGAGGACGGCGGCGCGGACGGCGACCCCGGGGAGGGCTCCGGCCCCGAAGGCGGCGGCGCCGAGCCCCCGGCGGGCGGCGGGCTGGGCTCCCGGGCCCAGGAGGAACTGCTGCTGCTCTTCACCATGGCCTCGCTGCACCCGGCCTTCTCCTTCCACCAGCGGGTCACCCTGCGGGAGCATCTGGAGAGGCTCCGCGCCGCGCTGCGCGGCGGCCCCAAGGACGCGGAGGCGGAGCCCTGCAACTTCTCCGGGGCCCAGGTAGGGCGCGCGCGGCCGCCGAGGCGCCCCCTCGCCGGCCGGAATCCCCCCCCCGCGGCGCGCTCGGCCCCCCACCCCGGCGTCGCCACGCTCCGTGCCCGCCCCCGCCCCCATCCACGCGGGCACCGCCATCACAGAATGCTCTAGAAGTCCTCCGAGCCGGAGTGGCCGCGGACGGCGTGGAGCTCCCCGCCCGGGCGCGCCGGGGGTGGAGGTTCTCGGGACGCGGTGGGCCGAGCACCCCGCGGCCTGGCGGCGCCGGGGAGTCGGGCGGGAGCCGCAGCCCGGCCCGGCCGCGGCTCTCGGGGTCCTGCCGCGGGGGCCGCGCGCTTGAAAGCTCCGCCTGCCCCCGGGCGCGGGTCCTCGAGGTGCGCCCTGGCCTGCTGCCCGCGACGGGGCTGCAGAGGGGGGTCTGCTTGGAGCTCCGCCTGCGCACGGCGGGCGCGAGGGGCTTTGGGCTCGTGCCCAGGTCTCGGCGCGCCCCGCGCCTGGACGCGCGGGGGGGGGTGGGGGGCGGGCGGGACCCCGCGGCTGGGCTGGGCAGTGCGGGCGCCCCCGGCTGCGCGCGCTCCCGGGTTTGAGTCGTTGGGCCCGCGGGGTCTGTTGGGCCCGCGCTGCAGGGATGGTTCTCTCGACGCTGTTAAACTCCGAAGCGGAGCGGATGAGGGTCAGATGAGCCGCTCGTCGCAAACAGTACGGACGAAATGCTGAGAGTCATGGCATTAGTTTGACAGGAGCCGCAGCCCAGCGGGAGGCCCTCGAGCCGGTCACTAAGGGGGGCACGGGAGGGCTCGGGGTAGAAACTAGGTCCAACAAGGGTGTTTTCTTGGATCCTCGCCATTATTTAAAAGCTACTGATGCGGTGTCAGGCTCCCAGCTTCGGGGCTTCCCCAGGAGGGTGTCGTGGAAGGGCCCCCCCCCCGCTTGTGCACTTTCACTCTGGGCCGGCGCTCGCGTCTGCGGCGCGTGTTCCTGCGGCTTCGCCACCCGGAGAATCGGGGCCGAGGGCCGGGAGGAGCTGCCGATGCGTCTTCCCCGCTTTCTGTTTAAAGTTCAGGCTTTCCACGTCCAAAAGCCTGACATGCCGCCGCCGCTCAACAGGCCGGACACTTGAGCCCCGGAGCGGGGCCGGCGCGGCGCCTGCTCCTAGCAGCCCTCGCGGTAGCGCCCGCGCGGGGGCGGCCCGGCGGCTGGGGCGGCGGGTGGCGCGCGCCCCTCGGCCCCTCGCTGTCGGGGCCCGTCCCCGCCCGCTCCCCCCTTTAAAAGCCCGGCCCTGCGGGGCGTGCTGGGGCGCGGGCCCGCCCGGGGGAGGAGCCTCCGCCGCGCCGTGGCCTCTTCCGGCGCCCGCGGGCTGGGGGCGCAGTGTGGCCCCGCGGGCGCGCCGAGGCGGGGCCCCGTGGGGCGTGGGGCGCGGGGCGGCCGCTGGGCCCTGCGGGGCGGGCTCTCCCGCGGGAGCGGTGGGGGGTCGCCCTGACGTCACCGGCGTCTCATTAAATTCTAACGGCCTCGCGTTTTCCGCGGGCCTGGAAGACCGTCCCCTCCCCGGCCCAGGGGGTCGCCGCCCGACCCCGCGGGCCCGCCCCTGGTCCGCCGGGAGCGCCCGAACCCGGGCTTGTCCCTGCCTGGCCGGCCGGAGGGCCCCGCGGGCCCCGCTGCGCTGGAGCGGCCGGGCGAGCCGGGTCCACCCCGCGGGGCCCGCCCCGCCCCCGCAAGATGGCGGCCGCGCGCGGCCCACGTGACTGCGCGGCCTCCCGGGGGCGGGGCGGGGCGGGGCGGGGCGGGGCGGGCCCGGCCCGGGGGCGGAGCCCCCGTGGGTGAGGAGCGCTCCAGGGCCCCGGGGCGCTGGGGGGGCCGGTTATTGCACCGCGAGTCACCCTGCGGATCACAGGCTGGCGGTGTCGGCGGGTTAGAGACCGTTTTATCCCCAGCACCGTCCCTGGTAAATGAATAAAGAACTAAGGTCCTTCTAATTTTCTGTGGAGTGTAGTCGTGCAGAATCCGCTCCAGACCCATCCTAGACTTGTGTCCAGTATGCGCCTACTATGCAGTAGCTTCTCTTTAGAAAAAAAACTTAAATGTTTACATAGAACTTGTGCTTTCATGTAAATTTCACATTCTGTGCTTTGAAGTTGAGCAGACCCAGCAGCTCTTTAGTGACAGAACCGTGGTTCTGATGGCTGCGTTTGAGGTGATGACAAATTCAATGTTAAAAAACTTACTAGCTCACTTTTGATTCATGGATTTGGCAAGTATATTTTTATTCTTTAAAGTAGCATTTGGAGAGTTTTTTAGGGATTTGGGTGATTTCAGAATAAATGTTACACTGGATTACAACTTGAATGTTGCACACTTTTAGGGGAGTTGTGCATAAAACCCCCGTTCTTCGCAGCTGCATGGACTCCCGGTCTCTTGCATGATATTCAGCAAATAGGCCAGTGGGCAGTAGTGAAAACACTGAGCAGCGTCTTGAGAAATTTGCGTGATTGTTGTAGTTCTGTGTTATTACAGGCTGCATATATAGCAGAGTAGACCAGGTGTTAAAAATGGATCTCTTAGCCGGGACCCAAACTGTAAGTGGTGTGTTAGCTCTGGCAGCAGAAACTGCTGAGTATTTTAAAACATGGTCTTTTTGTTGCTGTTTCGTTGAAAAGATGAAAGAGAGTCTAGCTTCCTCTCTCTTCAGTCTTAACCATCTGAAAACAAATATTCTAATTAGGAGATTTAACCCTTCATTCGCAATGCAAAGTGAAAAGACAGACAAGCTTAGTAGTGGTTGGTGGTTATCTCTGATGACCTCTTTCCTTTAAGTCAATGCAGAACCATTTACATTACATGTGTTAAAATAACAATTTTGTTGATGTTTGCAAGTAACAGACCCATGGCCACTTCATTTTTTAGTTTAACATTCAGATGTAGGGTGATCTTGATTTTACTATTATAAGTTTTAGTTTCAAGCATTTTAATTCAAGCATCAGTACTATTTGCCTAGCAATTTCCAGAGAAACATGGATAAACCAAGGGTGTGATCTTAACTCTGATATTCCAAGTCTCTTCTAAATAGGCATTTATGAAACTGTTTAGTGTAAATGAAGTAACTAAAAAAGGAAGCTTTGCAAAATTGTAACTTTCTCGTAGCATCTGTTAATTAACTATTACATGTGGTAGAGCAAATGCCTCCTGTTGTGTTAGCAATACAAATAATGTATTGGTGGTGTTGGGGCCTGAAAAAGAAAACGCTTCAGAATTTCAGCACAGATACTCCTTTGAGGAACACAGCTGTCCCTGTGGTCACCTGAACCCCAGAGCACCGACTGCAACGAGAGGGGAGGGTTGGTTGGTAGGATGTCAGCTGTTGTATTAGGCATAAAAAGATGCTTTCTAAAAATGATTTTTAAGAACACTTCTACTGCTCACAGGTAATAAATTCCTTTTCTTCATTTGTTACCCACTGCTGGGAGACTTTTTAAGTGACTAAGGCGTTCCTCCTCAGGGAAGGGTAACACAGAACTTAACGTTGTTGTCAGGATATGCAGCGCACAGGCGCTTGCAGAGTAATGCTGGTAGTCTTCAGTAAATGCTGGTGGTTATAGGCAAAAGTTAAACCTCGTTGGGAAGGCGGTGGTGAAGGAGCGGGGAGTAGAAGTAGTCTTAGATGGAAAATTTTGGCTTGGTTCAGCTGCAGCAAAGCATAAAAACTGTTCAATTTTAAATGCCTCTGAAAGAAGTTTTTAGAATATCAGAGTTGTACTAGTGATTATTTTAGTGGCAAACTAACTTTTGGGCCTCCTCCCCTCTTTCATTTTCCTGTGCAGCGACTTTCTCAGGTGGGAAAGTTCAGGGTAAGTCTCTCACCTCAGAGAAGGCGAGAACGCTGGCGAGGCAGAGGAAGCCTGTCCTTCAGGTTCACTGAAAGTAGACGCGCACATAGTTTTTAACTGCGTTTTGTTACTTGGAGGGGTGGTGGTGGGAAGCCCGCTGGAGAGGCCGTGGAGGGCCTTGGAGAGTGGGTCTCCTTGTGTCTCGAGTAGCGGGCGGGCGGCTTCTGTTCAGCTCTGGGTCAGGGGTCACTAAAATACATATTCTCCCCATATTGGATTTGGGGATGGGCATAGAGCAAACATTATTTCGAGTTTGTGTTACCATAAACTGTTGTATGGCCATAATCTACTTAAATCTTTGATTTTCACATTAGAAAACGATTCACACTAGAAATTATTTAAGGTTGTTTTGAGTTTTAAATCACACAGTTGTTTGTTTTATCAGAGCACAGATTGGAAGCCATAGATAATTAAGGAACACTTTTAGACTTTTTTTTAATAGAAGCTATTAAATTGATATTTTCATTTGATATTTTTGTCTTTTCTTGAGAAATATTAAACTAATTAAAAAAAAAAAGAGGGCGAGATGCAGAAGGCCTCCTTACATGCCCCTCAAAACTGAACAGGCTTTTTCACTTCATGGACTCTTTCATTATGGAGGACTGTGTGTGACAGCAGTCCCTGTGCTCACAGAGTGCTTTGTCACAAAAGCCTCCTTCATCCAGTCTGAGTAAACAGTGACTCTGGAAGGGAAGCGCACCTCGGGTGTTTATGTTACAGGTGGCAGAGCTGCTGGGCTCTTGGGCATCCATTTCCTTCTCTTCTTCCTATGCTCCAGGCAACATTTGGCCTTTGGCTCCTGTCTAAGTGTCTTAAGCTCACTGGAAACTTTTCACGTTCATTCCAGAAATAATTCACTTTAGGTCAACTTCAGGTTTTGAAAAGGTTACTTTGACAAACTAGATTTTCCAAGTTCCCCACTGCTTAGTACAAAGTAGGTCCAGTGTCTTTGTATGTAACTTGTGAAGAGGAACAGGCTGTTTTATATTAAACTGATTGGTAAACAAGACTGAGCTCTATTGATTGTTCAGTTCAGAGTGAATAGCACAATTTGGTGGCAGTGGATAAAGACAAATACAGCAGTCTGAAGAGACAATAGGGGTTGAGTTGCAGAGGGCCTTG